TATGATGCTTGCAGTCGCACATCTGACCAGTTGGACGAATTTCGAACCGTTCACAGTCAGCGTTCCAGAAATTTCTCATTGGAGCTGAAGATGACACTCAAGAAAAAGAATGGATAATTTTCCACTTTCACATTTTGGGTGGCTAGAATTTTCCACTCAGACACCCAAGAGAAATCTGAAGTTTGGGACATTGTTCACCAGAAGTGTACATAACTTAGTTTTTTTTAAAAGAAAATATTAGGGTTGCGCAGTGCGCTTTTGAGTGAATTCTTTTCCATGCGACACCAATAGGCTTAATGATCATTTTCAGAGATGTTGGGGCTGCTGCTACAATTCCCCTTTTGGGGTTCCTGCTACAACCCTTTTTTGGGGGTTCCTGCTACAACCCACTTTATATATAAAGCTGCACTTGTGCTGTTCACAATTCCTCCCGATCCACCCGACAACGCCCGATCCCGTCCGACCGCTTCCGAATCTCCGACTAACTAGTCGGCGAGTGATCCATTCAGGGCTCGCTGATTTTTAACATCCGACCGGCCGTAAGTTATCGTCCAATGTTTTATAATCTGCGTCAATATTTTGTGCTTACTTGTGCAATTTTATGTGCACCGCCGGAGTATCACCACTGAGAGGGTTGAGGGTCCCTACTCTCTCTTCTCTCTCTGAAGAGTCGGGGGGGGGGACGAGCCCCGTTTTTTTACATTTTTTAATGCCATCCGTTTTTTGCAGAATAAAGTGGCCGAAATCTGGGGAGAAATCGAAAATGGGGGGGGGGGGGGGCTATGGCTACGAAGGTCAGTCCATGTCGCTGCCCAAGTGGCCCACCAGTCAAAATTCCTTAGCCGAGGCCCTGAAACATTCAATATAATCAGTCGGGCCTGGGCTACAAGCCCTCTACCCCTTTTAAAATCTATCGTTATCCCCGACACAAGTGCACACAAATCCCTCTTGGTATCCAAGCTAATATTTCTTTATCAAGCCAAGCCTTGTCCCGTAGTGCGTTTTTACGGAACTATAAACCGTTTAGAGAAAATCATGGCCTAATCACGTGCTATGTTCAAAAAGGCCTTTACAGTCGAGGGCAAACTTAAAAAAAAACGAACCATAATAATGTAATTCCATTGGCTTCGTTGATCAGCATTTTCTGTTAGCGTTCACTCACACAACAATTAGAAAATAAAAGCGCCAATTTTGTATTAATAAAATGGACTTGCCGAAAATCTCCAGAAATACATCCAATCTTACTTCATTTAGATAATATTTTATGAAGCCCTACCTGCCATTTCTCTTTTGAATTATCTGACAGAACTACTGAAAGCCTGTCTTTACTTAATAGCTTAAGGTGCTCTCCTAATGACCAGATAAGATTGATTTGAAAGGGAGATTTGATAAGATTGATTTGATTTGATAAGATTGATTTGAAAGCTTACAGATCCACGTCCCATTGCTCCTCTGCTGCTTTTATCGGCTGCCGAGAGCTGGATCATGGTATCTCTACCCTTTTTAGTATACAATATCACAATTTAAAACTTTTCTTACAAACATGGAAACAGGAGGACGGGAAGCGTATCGGGAACACTCACAAGATGGTGAATACCTTTTACCAGAACGAGCTTCTTCTGCTGGGGCACTTTCGCCACGAATCAACACACCTGCACACTGTGCATGTGCCACGCACTTCCCGTGCTTGTGTCGTTCCTCTAATGCAGTGGTCGGCAGGTCCTCCGGGGTCGTGCCCCCTTTTTTGGCGCCAGGCAGCGCCATTACCCCCACTTGCCAGACCCCATTGGTGATATAACCAAGGTTACTAAACTTCCATACTTTTCCGCGACTCTTTGGGTACCATATCTGCGAGAAACCACAGGCTACCCCCCCCCCCCCCTGCGGTTTCTCGCAAATATCTAAAAAAAGTTGAGCGCCACCATTTTGTCACATTTTGTCATGCATTTTGTCTGCACATGTTGTGAAAATTTCAGACCAAAGTCGCTCAAAGTCAGGTCACCAGATCACGTCAAGTGACCTCATCTCAGTAAAGACTGTAACGCCTGTTGTAGCTACACAGAGTAACAGATCTCTTTCAAACTTTCAGGAATTGACAAAGTCACAAAGGCAACAAAACATGTACAAAATTTGTATCTCGGATATTTGATGTAGGTGACCAAAGGTCAGCTCACTTTCACGCCCTCTCTCGTTATCAATGGGAGAGTCGCAAAGTCAATGGTAGAAATTGAAAGACGCCTCTTTTGGATGAGTGTCATTCCTAGCACTGTGAAGCACTGAATCACAAGTAAACATGACCACTGAGCCGGAAAACTGCACCCGTAACCCCGCTGTATGTCCCTGAGGTCATTTCAGGTCGTGAACGGTATCTAATAGTTTTTCGCTAATAACTTTTGATAAAGGCATGCCAGAGCGATGAAAATACCTTGGATGTGTTTAGCTCGACGACACGGATCACCTGATGTGCAACAAGACCTTCGATGCTTCTCGACGGGGGGAGCACGATGCTGATAAAAGTGAGCTTTTGCAAGTTCTGAGTGAAACGCTACTGAAGAAAAACTCAGCAAACAACATACATTTTATCAGCAAACAACGTACATTTTAGCCATTTTTGTCTCCGCAGGCTAAATTGTTATTCTTAGGTTAAATCTTAGGGCATCATCAGAAAAAAAAACGTTAAGAGAGCTATCGAATGCGTTTTTCCGCAGCTCTGTAGCTCTATCCTTTCCTGAGCTATAGGCCAGTTTGTCGAAAATTGTCAAAGGTTGACCTGGAAATTGGCGAAATTTTACGTTAGATGACCTCTGGTGAGCTGACCTTTGACTTGACCTAAAAAGTGGCCATAGTTTTCCTTCATCATGTCTTACTCTCTTTCGAACGCCGACTACGGCGTTTCGCTAGTGACCCAGGAGACAAGTTAGAAGGGGGGAGGGGGTTCAACTTCCACCTCCAGCAGGGCGTGGATACCCAGGAGCCCCATCAGGGCGCGGGTTAACCCCCATACGAATAGGGGTAGCGTGTATTTTTCGGGAATAGATCACGTTAAAAGGGTCGGGTCATAAAAACTGTACCCTCGAGCCGATCATTTTTATCTGTCCTGAAAATGGCATGACCTTAAAGGGACCCTCCCACCTTCAAAAAAGTTAATGAATTGGCATGAAAGTGATGTCGCTAGGTTCAGAAAGAGCGGAAACGAATGTCTACCAAATTTTATCGAAAAATATTCACCGGTTTTCAAGATATTAGACTTTTACTTTTGTTTACTTTTTGGGATATCCGCTGTTCCTAGCGACTTTATTTGAAAGTGCGGCATTTGTTGCGCGCAAAGCAGCCCATACCACCGCGTGCTACCAAACGTGTTAGTAAAATATTTTAAAAATCGTTAGATATCTGCGCTGACGTCACACATTCAGAGGGGTATTCAAAAGCATTAGCCCCTCTGAATCAAAACGCTGCAATTTTGAAATTCAATATTTCCGATTTAAGGTATTTCTCGATGTTGTGACTTGTGAGTGCCGAAACCGGTAATTGTGAGCCAGGGACCCCATTTTGGCTATCTCAACTCAAATCTAATGTTAAGGTGGGAGGGTCCCTTTAACCCGAATAACCGTTGATTTGTGAGATCTTTCTTGAGATCATGGCAGTCCACAAAATCTCACTTCAAGAAGTTACAGCAAGAGCCGATTTACTCGGGACTTGTCATTGACCTCTGGAAGGTCACCAAATGACCAAGGACCTTTAAATTGGGTAGCAGCGGCTGCCTATCTTCACGGGCAGCACGCTCAATTTTTCTGCAAAGCTCCAGCTCAGAGGCCGAGATGCTCGGGTCTGGGTGCAATGGACAACTCCTCTCCCTTGCGTTAGTGACTGTGAAAACGCCAACAGGCGAGCGCCGGCTAATACATGACAGCTACTTTTGCGCGATTGTACGGAGTGGTGAGCAGCTATGTACATGAAAATTGGCATGCGCCAGCTGATCAGTTCATGCTTTGTGCGTTTGCCCTCGACTAATTTTTGAATCCTGGGGCACAACAGTTGCGATGTCTGTCCCATCAAGGGAGCCATTAATTCTAAAAAAAAGATGAGGCTTTCTCAGAGGCCCTCATTACCCCCCGCCGAAGGGCGCCGTTACCCCCAAAGGGGGCATGCCCCACCATTTGCCGACCCCTGCTCTAATGGCACAAGCTTTCTTTCTACCAATACCTAGAAAGCGCCAGTGGGAAGACAAGTTGTTTCTCTGCAATTTTTGTTATTTTTGTGAAAATTCCGCCACTCTTTTCCGCGTTCATGACTTTGTTGTAAGCTCCTGTCTGTATGAAAAAATAGTCGGTTTGGTCTAAATTTTGGCATACTTATTCCCAAATGAATGATTATTCACTATACGAAAGTTTGTATTGATAGCTTTAATAGTTTTAAAGATACGGATAATCAATCTTTTTCAAGAAACCAAGTGCGCACCCGTTATACGCAAGTCAGAATGTCGCTGTGCTCGTCGCAGGCATCCGAAACTCCCTCATACCACTTGTGTGCACCACACACTACAGTACTGAGCAAAACACGAAAAGAACCAATTAAAGGTGTTCAACACAGGTAAAGCGTAAAAAACACTGGTAAATATTGTGTTGTAGTGAGTGTGTGTTTAGAGTGCGTATAGGTAGTTGTATTTGTAACTGTGCATGTGTGCGTGCGACGTGGAAGTGTGGGAGTGTTTTTGTCTTTTTGCAACACGCAACCTGCACACCTATGGTCTCAATCGTGAGACTATTTTGCTCAGTGTTTTCCGTTTCTTTTGGAATACGATCTACTCTTATTTGATGTTATCATACTATACACCATGCGCAATGTGCGAGTAACATCTTATTTTATGTTACTCGCGCATTGCGCATGGTGTATGATGATATGTAGATATCTGTCCAATCCGCGCATCCTATCCGCTTGCGCGAACTGGACTGTCCGACTCTGGTGGAGACGCTAACGTTTGGAGCGGTTGTGGCCGATAGGCGTGGCTCCGGACGAGCAGCCGGTCGTCTCGCCCGTGTGCGTGGTGTCCGGATCAGAGGTGATGACCAGGGCAGGCTGGAGCGCCATCAACTCCACCTTCGAGCCGCCGTTCCGTCTGCGGCGTGACCAGCAAAAGACCTTTCTTCAGGTGAGCCAGAGGCGACAACAGGTGCCACCCGACGCAGGACGGTAGTTGTCTTCAGATGCTAGTTGTCGGAATAGGTCGAGGACCTAAAACGACAGGCTGGACGAAGTTTTGTTCCAAAAAAGCACTAAACGTTTTGTGATTCTTAGAATTACATCGTTTCTTTTTTACATATACCAATAATGCAAACAAGCCTTTTTTGTGATGATTTCAATACGAATTCCTTTGACCCTCGCCAGACCTTGATCTTTTTCAAAACACGGACGACTGGGGGGATGCGATCCCCCTTGTGATCGGCTCCTGTGGCACATAGAAACACCAAATCTACAGGGAAGTTCGACCCATAGGAAATTTCGCCCCTGTGCAAATTTGGTGACCAAGTCAATGTTTAGGTGTTTTTGGGGCATAAACGTAAAACTTTTCCTAAACACGTCGAACGTTTTTCACTTATAACTTTTGATGTATAGTAAAGATAGAAAAAACAATAGCATCAGTGAACCTCGCACAGCTGTGCGCATCGATGAATATACAGGGTGTTCCAAAAAAGTGAGCCCCCAAACTTATATTGCTTTTATCTCCGAAACCGTATGTCCTACGATAATGAAAGACTCCTTGTTGGAAAGAACGGTCAATTTCGGTTCTAGTAGGCTACCTAGTGTGGCTCTGAATGATTACGTATTACACCGAGAACGACCAGAACAAAATGTGTTGCGAGATCGGGTGAAACACGGCGACGGCGGTAAACGTGTATTGCTGACGGCAACGCACGACCGATATTGGAGTGGTCAAAATACTGGTTGAACTAGGTCATCCATTCAGTCTTCATTTTTTTATGATAAAAGTTCACGCGCGAAGAATGAATAAAAGCACGTGAACTGAAATATGCAGTCAGATGTGAATAAATTTTAACCATATCCGTTACCCCTAAATATTTCACTAAGAATTTGGTATTGAATTGTGCTTTTCACAATGCTGGTCGTGTTGTGCAAGCTATGTAACAGAATTACGACCTATCTGGATGGAATTCGATTGCTCTTTCTAATGAGCGGCTTTCCAAAGCTGTAGGATACACGGTTGCGGAGATACAGTCGATCTTAGTTAGGGGGCTCACTTTTTTTGGAACACCCTGTACATTTTACAAGTTTAAGTGAAATTTAAAGTGCACTTAACCCTATTCCTGGCGGGCTCCGCCGGGACAAGAAACTGGCGGGGGGAGGGCCGATTCGGCCCCCCCCCCCTGAGATCTCGAGAACGAAGCAAGATAGCGACAAACGGTAAACGGCATCGGATACGCACGGTCAAGATCTACAATTTTTACTAAGGTCATTTTCAGGTCAGGTCAAAGATGACGTCACAGGGGTCGAAAAAGTCAAAATGGCGGCGCTAGATATGGAGAGAGTTTTTCTCGAATAACTTTCGAATTAGTCAAGATAGGAACAAACTAAGGGCATCATCGTGATCCTCTCGTCATTCCGCATCGAATGATATATATGTTGACCTCGCAAGGTCAAGGTCAAAGGTTGACCTCAGGTCACGTGACCTCGAGGTCATCATGTATATCATTCGATGCGTCTTGACGAGCTGAACACAATGAGACCATCCACGCGTCTGTATCTTGTTCCTGTACGGAGTTATTGGCCAAAAACCTTTGGTGACCTTTGATGACGTCACATGACCTCACAGTTGCCCAACAGCAAAACAGACCTCAAGGTAGTGAAGGTTGATCGTATATGAAGTCATGTATGGTATATGGGGCCATTCCGACCCATTTTAGTGGTAAAAACAGGGAGTTGATTTTTCCCCCATTGACTTATAATGGGGAGGTCGCGAAACTGACCTGACCTTAGGTCACCGATATCAAAATTCCGAGATATACAAATTGCACATACTGGTACCCTAACTAAAGCCTGAAGAGAAGAAATTGATCGGTCAAAAACTCTAGCTCTGGCGTGATTGCAAACTTTTCTGAGGTAGGGTCACCAAACCGCCTCTGGTGACCTGACCTGAGGTCAGATCAACTCAAAATTTTCAGACATGTTGCGTAGAAGCCTTTTAGGAAAAGTCAGAAAATTTGAGCTTCCTAGCTCAACGCGTTTGGGAGAAATAATCAAAAAACCTCAGGGGGGGCTCCTGAGGCCCCCCCCCGCCAGGAATAGGGTTAAGTTTGGTGAAATTTAATGAGGTTCAAAAAGTTCATCAAAATACATATTGTTGCATTTAATTCGACTCAGCTGATCACAAAGAACACAATTACACGATTTGTAAGCTGCAACTTCGTTAGGTGCCAAGTTCTTAGCAAAACATAGTTTGACCCCATTTGAGTGTTCAGTTGACGCGACCCCAGTGTTCTTGCAGTATTCAAACAGGAACTTTGTCACGTATTGATAGAAATAGAGGCAGCACAATACTATAACGTTCCAGTTCCAGGACCTCCTCAATACACGTTCCGTGGACAATTATGTCATCAAAGTATGTCACACACGTGTGGGGATACATATCACCGAGGACAATGTTCAAGCGACGGGCACAGGTGAAAGGTGCTGATGAGAGACCGAAACACATCCGCTTATACTGCCAGTTTCCGAACGGAGTGGTAATCGTCGCTTTGACACGGTCAGCGGGCTCAATGGATATTTAGTGATATGTAGAATTCATGTCCAACACACAGAAGTAGGAAGAGCCAGCCAGGGCCTCTAGCGCATCATCTATCCTCGGAATGGGGTAGGCGGGCAGGTTGGTAATAGCATTTGCCCGCCGCCAGTCAACTGCCAAACGCCACTGAGCATTTTTATTTCTGGTCAGCATGATAGGAGACGACCAGCTCCCGTCAGCTGCCTCCAAAATTCCTTGTCGCACCAATTCGTCCAACTGAGCACGCACTTCATCACGCAAGTGGGGAGGAATGCGTCGCGGGCTCTGTCGGACTGGGGGGGGGGGGGTCGCCTGTGTCAATGCGGTGAGTTACCAAGTCGGTATGACCGATATGGCCGTCGAACATGGGACCGTATTTGCGCAGAACAGCAAGCAGTGCGTCACGCTGAGCGACGGTAAGGTCAGTGTCAGTCAAATCTATCATATCCTCAATGTTCATTTCACCGGCCGACTTATCAGACTTTCCGATCAGATCGGACGGCGGCGCCTCAATGAAGATGACCTCGAGGTCAGCCACGTCAGTGTGCTTGAGTAGGGTCACGTAGTCAGAGGTAACTTTGCGAATTACAACGGGGACGGCGGCATCAGACACCCTGACCAGACACCGCACTATCTCAATGCCTGGCATGTCCAATGTCAGCTCAACCAGCGCCGAGCCCCGGTAAGTGCAGGCATGAGCATAGCCAGGGACAATAACTTCAGCTCCCGGGGTCACCGAGAGGTCACGACCTAGCTTCACCTTGCCCACCGAGGTCACATCCACAGAGACGTTTCGCACAGAATCACGAGGGGTCAAACTCAGTCTCTTACGGGGCAAATCGATCACACAAGGCACAGCATGCAAAAAAAAAAAAAAACAACTCCAAGCCAAGTAGACACGGGACATCCACTGAGCCTGACACGTACAAAGAAATGACATGCTGCTGACCAGCCACGTCAAAAGGTAGGTACATTCACACGGCCCGAAATCGGTAGATCCTGCTGAGACACGGTTTTAGCTCGAGTTGAAGTAGACACATTTTAACTTGCGACAAAGTATCCAAAACGGATTTGTGAACAACGCTAATGCTACTGCCAGTATCCAGGAGGCACGTGCACTGAATTCCAAGAATTCGTGCTGCAAAACGAATAAAACGGTATCAGTCAATGAAACCGAATCTGTCACCTCTGGGTCACGCACTGGGTCTACACTCTGTCGCTGGGGCCCATTGGGGTCACGTGCGGGGTCTGCACCTTGGCGCTGGGGCCCCGAGCCCCCGGCGCGAGGCCCCCTTGGTCGTTTCCCGCACCTGGTACGGCCCTCGGACACCGAGCCAGCAAGTGGCCTGTCTCACCACAGCCGTAGCAGGGCGTAGCACGTGTGATTTCTGAAACAATTCCGTCTGAGGTGACCTGCTGACCCGCACGCAAAACAATCACGGGAAGCGGGAGCACCACCCGGTTCACCCTGTGCCCCGACCCCTGCACAGTGGCCCTTTTTCAGAATTAGCACGCATTAATTCCCACACTTCCTGAAAGTGGTGCAAGACATCACCACGTGATCAAGGACGTATTCCCTGTCAATGCAAAGAGAAGAAAAGAAACGAACTGTCCAAGGAGATTCGGCCCAACAGCGACAGGCCGCTCGGCACAAGATTTGGCGCACGTTCTCACGGCTCGCCCCCGAAAGCAAGTGTGGCGAGCCCGCCAGCCGACCGCGCTGCACTGACCGCCAGGGCGCCCCAGGGCGTCACGTGACCGCATCTACAGCTGTTGCCAGCCACCGTTAGTCGGCCCCGGCCGGGCAGCAACTAAGGTCAGCGCGGCGCGAACAATACAAAAACATAAGCGCTTTTGACGTTCGATCTTAGGCCGACCACGGGACTTGTGCGGCTTGGACATCAAACGCGGCAAGAAATCGGAGTTTTTTTTTTGGAGGGGGGGGGCATGACATTTGACACATACATGACATTTCAATTAGCACATCTTATGGCAAAAGTCAAGCCACATTTAGGCGCACACCAGTCACTAGGTGACACCAGCTTCGAGCCAGGTCAATGAGCTTAGTCGTATCGAACAGGAGCCACAGCCGCTCGCGGACTGAACTGGCTCACGTTATCCACCGTAGAAGCAAAATGGCGCGATGCCCTTTGATGGACATGGTCTGCGGGGTCGCCGGCCGGCCCCGTTCACCGCGCGCCTGTGGCGCAAGGTAAATTGGGACGCGGTGTGTCTGGACCTTCTGCGGGCGGACTGGAATGCTGTCTATGACTCAGTCTCGATTGACGACAAAGTGAGTGCTTTTCTGGCCATCTGGTGGAGCATACTTGACGTGCACTGTCCTGTGAAGCGTGTCACACCTCGCCGGCCCC